AAAGCAGAATGCAGTTACCTCAGAAAATTAAAAATGGAACTGCCTTTTGACCCAGCAATCCCACTTCTGGGAATATGTCCTAAGAATCCTGAGACAGTGATTGGAAAGAATATATGCACCCCTATGTTCATAGCAGCATAACTTACAATAGCCAAGATCTGGAAACAGCCCAAGTGCCCATCAGTAAATGAGCAGATAAAAAAGCTATGGTGCATTTACACAATGGAATACTACATAAAAAAGAAGGAAATCTTACCTTTTGTGACAACATGGTTGGATATGGAGACTATTATGCTAAGTGAAATAAGCCACTCAGAAAAAGACAAATACCATATTATCTCACTTGTACATGGAATCTAATGAACAAAATAAACTGATGCACAAAATAGAACCAGAGGCATGGATGCATGGAACAGACTGAGAGCTGTCAGAGGGGAATGGAGAGGAGTGACTAGGTAAAAGGTGAAGGGATTAGCCAAAGAACACATATGCATGACCCATAGACACAGACCAGTGTTGTAATGGTCAGAGTGAAGAGAGGCAGGGGCTAGGTAGAGGTAGGCAACATGGGGTGAAAATAGGGACATCTGTGATAGTGTCAACAATAAAATAAATAATAAAAAGAAGAGCAATTTATTCCTTGATTCACATGATGGTTGCATTTGAATATTCAGTATATATGAAACTGAGTAAATACAGTTGTCCCTCGCTATACTGTGGTTCACTTATTGCAGCTTCACTTCACTGGTGAGTACCCATATAGAATTTTATATGTTGTTACAATTACATAGGTTTAAGAGTGTAGAAAGTGTTTAAGAGCATATGAAGTGTTTATAAGAGTGCGGGGAAGGTTAATAAGATAATTGGAAAGATTTATAGGAGTGTGGGGAGGGTTTATAAAGCCTTAATATATATATAAATAATAAAATAAATATAACGCCACTATTTCTCAGATTTTCACCTACCATGGGGATCTCTGGAATGTAACTCCAGTGATAGGTGAGGGATCACTGTATACTTTGTGTCTATATGTAAAATGATGTAAAGTTCAAATAAAGACAGGCCTATAACCTCTAGAAAGTCCAGCAGCATGTTCAAAATTGGTTTGGGACCTGTCCACATACTGCAGAAGGGCCACACATAGTAGTGATAACCCCAAGCATCACTAAAGTTCTAAAACACTCCAAGGGCAGTAACCTCCAAGTGTAGGACCACTAATGAAAAGAATAGATGTCAGTGTGGCCCAGAGGAAACAGTGCCAGTCGGGAGGCAGGGTTTCTGCCTCTGCCTCTATCTTTGCCTCACCTGCTGTGAGACAGCAACATAAGCAATGGCATTGATAGGATTGAGAGTGCTCAATGCCTGTTGACCACTGTAATAGCCCCCCTTCATGATGTGGGTTAATCTACATGATTAATCTCCTCAGGCCAGTAGTGTTATTCCCATTTTAAAGATGGAAACACTGAGGGAAGAAGGGAGGGAATTTCAGGGGAGAATGGGAAGGGTTTACAGGAACAAATAGAAAGGACATATGGACAAAAACTAGGGGAGGTGGAAATGGGAGGGAAGTGGGGAGGGTTGGGTGGGCGGGCTGGAATGGGAGTAAAAGGAAGAAAACTGTACTTGAACGATGATTAAAATAAAATTTAAACAAATAAATAATGACAAAGGGAAAAAAAGATGGAACACTGAGACTGATGTTAGGCAAGCTGCTTAAGTTTTTAATTTCTTACCTTTCTGATGTATCAAAAGAGGTAACTGAGACATGGATACATGGAAGATATTTATGAATTAAAAATACATAAAAACCTTTATGTATTTTTACCAGAAGAGGAACAAAGACATATATATATATATGTTTTTATCCTAACAGGTTGTGGAAGTTCTAGTGTAGGTTGATATACAGGGTCTGGCACAAATAATGCCCCTTTTTTATTACAAAATCATAAGCATGTAATTCTGTAACACAAAAATATCACACTCAAGCACACCATGTGACATTTTAGGTGAAATGTTCAAATTAAAACTATAAATTATTACACCCATATTATTACCCTACCAACCACATTCAAGCAGGTGTTACTTCTGTTGGACCCTGTCTTTTAGACATGAAATAATTTGAAAGTAATTAATTCTGTCCCATGTGCAGCCACTGTAGATGTCTACTAGTTATCAAGAGGAAGCATAAAGAGATCTATGTTTCATATTATAACCAAGAAATGATGCTTGCAACCACTTGGGATTTAAAATGTTCTTCCTGTTTTGATAGAAACAAGAGGCAGTAGATGGTGTCAATGGGCTGTGGAAGAGTGGACCCTTGGTTTGGAGAGACAGGGAGCCATAGCCCTGTGGAACCATGCCCTCATACAGACAGAGCAGCACAGAGCCTGCAGGGGGAACGTGCCCTGAAGAACTCAACTGATCCTTAGGGTTGTGTTTTGACCAAGGGCATAGGAAAAACTTAAGAAAGCTCCTTGATTTGTGATAGGGATAGTAAATTAAAAAGTAGATGCTCAAGAGGTTACCACCCAGAACACACTAGAAGGTAAAGCACTCTTTATAAACTAATGCTCTTTCTTTGGCAGCCTCAGGTGCCAGCCTCATCAGGTCTTTGAGGAAAAGGTACTGGAGGCTCATATAAACTAGTAAAAGTCCTTGTCGAATTTGTGGGTATGTGTGTGTGATAAGATATAACTGAATCAGCTGAAGATTCTCTTTGCTAGAAGTACAGAAGACCCTTTCTTTGTACTAGATCCATTTTTGGATTAGATGTGGTTTTGTTTCCCTCTGCTTACTCTTCTGGTTCCAGCCAAAGGAGCTATACAGAAGATTCAAGGCTAAACATAAAAGCAAACATATTTATTATCAGCTGGATAGCAAACCCTCCTCATATTAATTGCCTGCCAATCCCCCAATGCACATACTTTAGTTATCAGGGCCAGAGCACAGGGCTGGGGAGGACCCAGCCATGACAGAGGAAAATGTGTGTCTTGTAAAAGGGCTAATGATGAGCCCTAAATCTGTCACATTGTAATCCTAAACCCATTTGCACATGGGACTCCAGAGCTCAGTGATGTCCTGAATGAAAGGATGTTCCATCACAGCCTGAAGACACTTATCTGGGATCTGAGTGTACATATACCCAGTCATAGCAAAGTTTTGATTCAATCTGAATGAAGACGCTTAGGGAAAGCCTAGTTTTCTGCTCCAAGGCCAGGTTGGTACAGTCAGACTTAGATTTTTAGATGTGAGGGCTCTGCTCTGGTTTTCTGGGGTGACAAAAGAGGGGATCCCAAGGTACATTTTGACCTGGAGAGAAAAAGAATAATTATTTTAGCTATTTGAAAAGTAAAAGGTGGCCAAAGTGTTTGGTTACATATTGAAGTCTGGGAGGTCTGCTTATCTTAAGCATCTTGAGATCTGTAATGTTAGCAGGAACCTCTTGGTCACAGAATGGCCTCAGAAATAGAGGCTGTAAAATACTGTCCAAGTTCATTTCCAGGGCTCTGGGTTGAAGACCTCACCCATGCACTAACACTCCCACAGGGTGTGCCTCTATTGTTCCTATGATCGAAAACCAATACAAGCAATCAAACGTCATGCACTAGCAAAGAGATGCAAAACTTTCACCTTTAAACTCCTCCATGTGCCTCAAGAAGCAGAATACACTCTTTAATTCACTGGTGAAAAGGGAGGATACTGTAAAGGGATCTGAGCCCACATGTTTAGAGCATGGCTAGGGTTTCCTGTCTGTGCACATTTATTCAACAAATATTTATTTGTCACACTACCAGACACTGTGTTAGGCATTGCCTTCTTACTTGGGAGATAATTCACATTTCTTTCATCTTGTGAGTGAGGCATGAACTGCTCTTTGTTCTGGGTAATCTTTTCTAGGATGTTTCTATAGCAAGGAGTCCTGGAAAGTGGAGATAGTTAGTTCCTTCTGTGAAGAGGGCAGGCACCCTACTGCCCATCAGAAGAGACTCTGGTTTTCTTGGATCAGGATTCCTCTGCTGGAACTCAACCCACCATGTGGGCAACCACCCACTTAGAACCATGTGTGTTGTCCTTCAGGACTTGGAGACAAAGAGAACAGATCAAATATGTTTTTATACTCTAGCTGTGCTGTGAGTGATAAAACCCCCTGTCTCTGAGCAAAGAGTCCCTGTCTTCTGTCAGCATCCACTGAAAGGTCATAGGCTGACTTGTTGTTTTGCAAGGAGGAAAAATCTCAGTCCCTACAAAGTTCCTAACAAGCTTATATTCTTATTGAATTTTATATTCAAAACACCCTAAAATTTAAATATTTTATCTTCATTTTGTTGATTAGAACTGAAGCAGAGAAGTTAAATTACTTTTCCTAGGTCACAGAACTAACTAGTACCAGAGGGGATATTTTTGTTCAACTGTGTCTGATTCCAGAATCAGAATCAACTGTGTCTCTTTCCACAACATGTAGACACATTAAGTTGTAAACAAGAAAGTGCCTGTAGTTCTTTTTTTTTTTTTTGAGGGTATACTTTATTTTGCACTTAATGGAATTGTTAATATGCTATGTCACCTTTGTTTCCTAGCCCTACATTTTGTTTTTTGGCCATTGGAGCTTATGTATTTTTAAAGGCAGAGCAATTGAGTCTACTTTTGCCATTGGCTTTCTAAATGCAGCTAGAAATGTCTGGGCCACAAACCAGGGTTTCATGAATGCTATTAATATGTTATGACAGATTCTTTTTTTAATTTTAGTTTTCAATTAGAGTTTACATTTAATATTATTTTGTATTAGTTTCAGGTATATAGCATAGTGTTTAAACAATCATATACATTACAGAGTGGTCCCCCCAATATGTCCAGCACCCACCTGGCCCATGCATTATTGTTATCACATTATTGACTATATTCCCTATACTGCACTTTACATAGCCATGACTATTTTGTAAATACCTATTTGTACTTCTTAATCCCTTCGACTTTTTCACCCAGTCCCCCAAACTGCCCTCCCATCTGGCAATCATCAATCTGATCTCTGTATCTATAAATCTGTTACTATTTTGCTTGTTCATTTACGTTGTTCTTTAGACTCTCCATATAAGTAAAATTAAATACTATTTGTCTTTCTCTGTCTGACTTATTTCACATTAGCATAATACCCTCTAGGTCCATCCATGCTGTTGCAAATGGTAAGATTTCATTTGTTTTTATGGCTGAATAATATTCCATTGTATATACATATCACATCTTCTTTATCCACTCATCTATTGATGGGCACTTGAAAGTGACTATAGTTCTATTTGTGGCACTAGGCCAGTTAATATCCTGTTGACTTCTAAATTATCTCTGGTGCTATGATGATAAAAGAAGCTCAGGCAAAAAGTGAAAAATAATGGAGGACTGTCTTCTCCAAAAGAACATAAACAGGATACACTCATCAGTAGTCCTTCCACTGAAGAAAAAGTTCTCTAATGTGAAGGTTGGCTTGAAGGTTGACCTACTGCCCTGTGTTCAGGAAAGGATGATATGTCTTTCTCAGCAAGCAGGATGGGTTGAGTCATGTGAAATCCAGACTAAAGGATGAGGAAGCTGAAGTGAGGGGCATGCCCCAGGATAACGGATATCTCCACCACTTGGCAGGGCCATCACCATGACATGCCTTTAGAATCTCCCTTGTATATTTCCACAGTTATTTTCATCTTGTCTTTTGTTTAACTTGACCATTGCATAGTTTTATGATAGAGATTGACATGTTCCTACAGTGGTTCCCTATAGCCTCAAGGACAAAGTCACATTTCTTAGACTGGAGAAATTTCTTGGCTGGAGACCCTCCATTGTCCTGCCCTAGTCTACTGTGCATTGATGCAGGTATCCTTTTCCCTCTGAAGTCTTCCCTAAGTCCAGCTCATCTCCTGGTATAATTGCCTCTCTCTTCTTGGTATTACACACTGAATTGTGCCACTACTCTCACAGCAGCTCTAACACTGCAGGGCCATGAACTTGACATGTTTATCTTCTCCACCAAGCACAGAACCCTTGAGGCAGGATCTGTTCTATTCAGTGAGGTCATCCCCACACTTAGATAGGTACCTAACACATGTGTGTGAATTGCAGATATATAATCAGACACATTCAGGCACATGGTCTATTTGTCTCTGGATCTGAATATTCATTATTAAACATTTTTACTTTGAGTTTGAGAACTTTTTTAGAGCATAAATCATCCAAGAAGGGTCATCTAGCCAATCATTTTCTTTTTTGATAAGAATGACTGAGTGGTGGATGAGGTGTGATCTAACTGAAAACATTTTACCCTGCTAACCATTCCACCAAAGGCCAATAGACCAGGACCAATTCCCACCACTCCAAGCTGCCACTGCCCCAGGCCAGCCCTCACTGAGAATGGAGATATTTTCACAGGAGCCCAGGTCATTGCTGGCCAAGCCTGGGGTGCTTTGACCCTGACATTGGGTCATTCCAGCATCCCTGAGTCCTGGTGCACCTGATCCACTCCCAGGAAGAACTCTTGTTGATTCACTGCAGCATGTAAAGGGAAAGATATTCCTGCTGATGGTCTCTTAGGAGCTCTGAGACCTCCAACAAGCCCTTTAGTCTTTCTGAGCCTCAGTTTCTATCCCTCTAAAGAGAGAATTAGGTCATATTTCTGAGAGGATTATTGAGAGGATAAAAGGAGAAACTGTGTGCAAAGAAGCTGTGATTTCACCGAGGATGACAGCTCCCCCTTGGGTGGCATTTGGAATGGTCACCTTGGACAATTCACCCCTACAGCTTCCATGTCACTCTGCCTCTGATTCTGGCTGGGCCTGGGGACCCAGTGGGCTGGAAGCAGACTGTACTTCCACAGAGTTTTTTGTAGTTTCATAGGGCAGGTGAGGGAGATGAAGCAAGGGGACAGAGAGCCCACCTCCCATGGGCCAGGTCTCAGATAGAGGGTTGCTAGACCAATGGGGGTGGAAAGAGAGAAGGAGGGAGAGGAGACTTATCAGTGGCCCTCTTCTCCACAAAGGCATCAGCTCAGGGGCTCTGGGCTCATCCTCTCTCTCTGGAGACTTTCTTAAATAAAAGCATGTCTGTGTGTGGGTTCTGGGTGCACTAGGCAGTGATTTAAGCTTACAGTCCTTGAAGATGAGGCCATATGCCCACATATTCTCAAAAACCTAAAGTGATGTCACAACAGGAAGGATTGTTAGATGCTGTTTAGTGTTTCCCAAACGTGTTCTGTGGAACTCTTGGTCCTATAGGTATTCTGAAAAGAAATGGGGTCTCTGGCCAAATACATTTGAGGAAGGCTGCATTAATTTCCCTACTCCTCACATCTCAAGTTCTAGCACACATTGAAATACTAAAGATACTGGGAAGCCCTCACTGCTTTAACTTGGCTTAATATGTCATTTTCCAAACCTGTTTGCACGTGGAGCATCCTTTGTGTTTGGGCTGTTTATCAAGATTTTGCCAACCAGTGTTCAACAGAGCACAGTTTGGGACATGGAGATAGAGCCAAGTCCTTCATTTTACAGATGAGACAGTGGAAGGCCAGAAAGCTCAAGTCACCCAGAGAATCATCTCGCCTTTTGGCCAGCTTCATTTCTCCTCTCTGCCTCTCTGCCTTATGAGAGCCCTAGGACTTCTAGCTCCTTTGGCTGGTGGTTAGTCATCCCTGACTGAGCTTAGATCCATTATCTTTCTAGGGAGAGTGACAAGGGACCTTTTAGCTGATTCCCAGTTGTAGATGGGGCCACCTATGGAAATCTGAGCCCTAGGGATTTCCTGGTAGCCAGAGTACAGCCAGGCTCCAAGTTTTTAATCTTGGAGCTGCTGGTTTCTGGGCAATTGCTGAGCTGCTGGGGGTCTTGGAGAGATTCTTATGAAAGGGGATGGTTAGTAAGTTCATCTTTCTTATCTGCTATTCATTCTAAATTATAATTGCTGTTCAGGAAGCATTTAGAAGTGGTGCAATGAGGAACTTTTGTTTACCTACACATACATAGTTTATATCCAGTACCACATAATGACATTATAAAACAATTCTGAGCACTTGGCACATTTGTTACTGCCATCAATCCTGAGAGTGTGTACCATGGAGGGATGTTCACAAGAGGGACAAGAAGGCCATAGAGGTCAAGCCAGTTGACCAAATTCTAGGACCAGGAAAGGGGAGCCAGATCCCAAACCCAAGGACTCTGTGCTCTAACCACTGTTATTATGGGAAGGATGGGGTTCACTCATATTTTTTAACAGGTCCATTTTTTTCTAATACTGTATTAGAGAATCAATGCTTCAGCCACTGCCCTTGTGCGGGGACAGTCTATTACTAGAGGCCCATTCCACTATTACATTTGTTTCATGAAGCTAGTGCCTGTGTGAGGAAAAGAAATGCTGGTCACTTGTCCCTCCCTCCCCTGGAAGGCATAGGAGCCATGTGTGCTATCTGTGCTGGGACTGGCAATGGAGCCAGAAGTGGACGGTGCAGCCCCATGCATTCAGGCATACATGTAGACTCTATCAGAGGCACACAGCTGCTTTGGTGAAAAGCCAGTCCTGGGTGGCATTTACTCTCCTCCAGACAATTATGGTAATACTGTTTGACTCTGAGTACTCAGTTAGGTTTCAAATTTATTTCCAATCACTTACAGCTGGATCAGTAGAAGACTAAGGTATCTATAGCTCTGTCATTTGCTATTCCCCTGGATGTCAAGGACTGACATTTGATGCCATTGTCCTAATCACCATACTGCTGACTCACTTCCTTGGTTTTCAGTGCCCAGGCCCACCCACCCCACTCAGATTCAGCAAGAACTTACACACCACACTGAGGATAAATTACACTGCCTAGGAAGACCCAGACTTCTTCCCTCTGGCAGAGCAAAAGCTGGCCTCATCAGTGGTCATTGTGCCCTTGGGAGAGGATTCTCTGGACTGAATTCCTCTTCCTTTCCTCCCAGCTCCCTGGCCTAGCACCCAGCATTCCCCTGTCTTGGGCTGGGGTGGGTGCTCTCATGGTCTGCTTGGTAGTGCAGATGGTTGAGTGAAGTCATGGAGTAGGAGGAGGCACTGGGGGAGGTAAGGTCTGGTGCCCCTCAGATAAAGTACTCCTTTCTGCTGTTGTCACCAGCCTCTTGGAGAGATAGGTCATCCTGCATGGCTACATCTGCGGTCTCAGCAAACTCTGTGCCCTTGTCCTCATTGGTATGGTAAGTGCCCTTGTGCCGGTACATGTAGTGTAGCATGAGGACAAGGAGGCAGACCAGGAAGAAGGCCACAGCAGCAATCACTCCTGCAGATGGGAAGAAACACACAGCTCTGTGTGAAAACAGAACAGGGGATCAGGACACATAGGGGTTGTGGCAGGACAGACTTGCTGCTACATGAATATCAACCACCAGATGGTCTGTCTTATTCCTGCCACTCTTCTCCCTGCTGTGTGTGTGCTCATCCCTCATCCATGCTCATTTGAGTTCCCCCTTCTCTCCATTCTTTCCTTCCTCTTTCTTCCCTCCCCACTTCAGCACTTGGCAGACACAGTCTGGAATAGTGTTTCAGACTTGATCCCTGCTGAGGAGCAGATGCTCACAGTGCATTGACCTATGTGCATGATTTGTAGTTTGTGGGTTTGCCTAAAGCTGAGGTGTTCAGAGGATTCAGAACTTTCAGTGTTAAAACCAGAGGTTTCCTGGGTTGTGAGACTTAAAGTGCTAGAATCAGGAAGGTGCTGGAAAATGGGGTGGAGATGTCTTCTTGATGTACACTATTCAGGAGGAAAGACTAGGCTGATGGACTGGGCTGAGCTTGGGCCTCCTGGGACAGGACGGTTTGGGTGAAGTGTGGCTTCACTGCTCATTGCTCCACTCAACTTCCCTGAATTGCAGGAGGGCAAGGGTTGGCCAAGCAAAAGACTAAGCAGGGAGGGGATCCTGAAGGATGCCTGTGAGGGTATGTGGTGTGGGGATCAACTATTCCCTCATTTAGGATCAGGATGGGTTGAGAGATGAGATTTGAGGGCTGGTCAGTACAGCCATGTCACAGTGGACCTCAGGGTGATGGGTGAGGGGGGGAGACTAGTGTTTGAACAAAGCTAGTGGGCAGCCCCTGATGGGGTGGACGGAAGGCTTATGAATTTAGACATTTGCTTTAAAGCCACAGAACAAGTCCTCTGTCTTGATTTAAGAGCATAGGTTTATTTGTGGACTTTGGGGGATGTTAGAGAAAACTGTTCTCAAGTTTCACCTTTGAGGAACAATTTTCTAAACTTCTTGCTGCCTTCAGGACAGCACTTTGTCTGCATGATGTTAATAATACTGTCTAAGAAAAAGAAGTGTTTGGGGGCCCAATGAGCTGGAGAATGTTAGTTACACAGAGCCTAGCAGGAGTTTGAGGGCCTGCTTTCTCTTGTTTATATCTAATAGTGAAGTCTCTGAGCTGCTAACAAGCTGGGGAGATGTGTGAATCCTAGAAATAAACAGTTGGCTACACCTCCCAAACCTAGTCATTTCTGAAGTACAATTTGGGGTCATAGCCATGACCAGTGGAGTCAGCGCAGAGTTCTAAGCAAGGCTAGATCAGGGTCGCATTTCTTTAGGATGGAGAGATATGGGTGTGAACCCAGGACAGGGAATGGGGTGAGATGAGGACACAGAAAAGAGTTCAGAGAGCTCTGGTCCATACAGGCGACCTCTCCAGTACAGTGACTCTATCTCCAGCCCCTGATCTCCATGAATCCACAGTCCTGTGAGGACCCTGACATGGTGCCCTCAACACCACTCTGGCCTTACCATCACCCACTGGGAAACTGTGCTGGACATTTTCTTATAGGGCCAGACTCTTCCAGTCTACATTCAAAACTGTCTTTGAGAGAGGAAAGGTACTAGCTATCCCCTGGCCCAAGTCCTCAAATGAGTTCTCCCCTTGGATGTTTCCTCTGACCTTACTGACTACTTGAAGGGCCCCCAGCCAGCTCACCTGCAATGATGGCAATGTCCACTGTCGTCCAGGCCATACCGGGGTTGGACTCTGAGAACAGAACAAAGGAGCCCTTTGAGAGAGGAAGTTCCTCCACACCGGCATCATCTCAGCCCAGCATGCACCCTCTGTTCACATGTGAATAGTTTTGTGAATGGGCCCAGAGTGGGCAGAGTGGACATGGTCAGAGGCCATTGTCAGGTCTCTGACCAGGGGTGCACAGAGAATAAGACACTCCAGTGAGAGCCAACAAGAACTTTTCATGACCACAAAGATTCCTGCCCCTCCCCCAATAGTAGTGCTTCTCCTGAACCAAAATCAGACTCACACAAAGGTGTCACCATCTGAGAGCACTTGGTAAGGTAACTTTTCTGACCAGATCTGTGCATTCCTCAGCAGATGTGGCTGCAACTGCACAGCTATCATGGATACTGTGTCACAGAGGGAACTCTCCAAGGACTCAGGAAAATCCTGTTTCCCCTCATGACTTTAAGGCCAAAATTATCTTCCTTTTTTCCAGAACATCCAGACCTCCTAGTCTGAAGCTATCATCACTCTCAACTCAAAGGAGCTCACTCTCCTGAGTCCTTGGCCCTGTGCTCTGGCTAGACAATATGGACAATGGGAACCAGGGTGGAGGCACTTCCACCTGAGGCAGAAGGAAGAGCCATTAGAGGTATGAAGATAGAGCCTTGCAAGAAAAAGGAGAATTCTCCCCCAACCCCACAGCTTCGTCTGAAAATACAAGAGAAGAAAGGGTCAGTTTGTGTCCCTGGAGCCAGGGCCTAACCACTGCTCTCTGTTACCATCTAAAAAATGTCACTAAACCCTTCTCCCAAGACCCAGCTCCTGTTGATATCTCACATCTTGTCAGCTGCGTCTATGCTGCCAGCTGGAGAGGAAATGTCACCTACATGGGAGGGCAGCACTGTGTGCCCTGCAGCCTCTAGGAGCTGCTTGCCTTTGACCAGAAGACAGGTACCAGCCTCCCTGTGGGCCTGGAGCACAAGCAGAGATTGGGCTGCAGCTGAAGGGCAGATTGCACAGGCAAAAGCCATCCCCAGCCCTGGCAGTGGGTGCTATCATGCTAGGGAACTTCAGGTTAAAACACAGGCTCTGTCCTTTTTTGGCTGTCAAATTTTGACAAGTTACTTGACCTCTTTGGGCATACATTTTATTATGTATAACTTAAAGAAAGGAGAACCTTTCCATTTTTCTGGCTTGCTGTAGGACTGAATATAGGACTGAAATTTAAATGGCAGCTTCGCCCAAGGTATGTGTCTAGTCAGTGCACAGAGAACCAATGCAGTGCTCCTCCTCTTCCTTAGCCTCCAGGACATCCCACACTGGAATTTCCTGAGGCCTCCATGGTTGTACCAGGCTGCCTCTTCACCTTCTCCTGCACCCAGAGGGGAATGGTGAGTGTAGGAGTAGGATAGGTCTTCACCATCTCAGCACCCACCAGATCACTGTCTGTTGTCCCTGCACTTGGCTGTGTGTCCCTGGCCCTGACCTTGTGGTAAGGCCTCCAGCTCAATGTCCAAATTGGGAGTTCAGAATCCCAGAGTTGTGGCACAACTCAGCCACTCTGCTTCCATCACTCACATTAGCTTTCCCCTGCTTTGTTCTTTATCTGCCTACTCATTACTTGATCTCTTAGTTGGGCTTCCCTTGAACAAAATACTGTAGGACTAGGGATTTGGTTTATTCCCTCTTATAGCATTAATGTCTGAATCAGGGTCTCAAACATGATGGTGAGTGTGACCCTGAGAAACACCATTTATATTGTGAGTCAAGTCCCTATTTTTGTGGCATGTGTGCATAAGTAAAATCGAAGCTCTACCAAACTGTCCCCCAACTGGATGAGTGGGGTCCTGATGCTTTATAAGCTATTTTCTGTCTCTCTCTCCCCCTCCCCATTCTTCATTTCTCTCTCTCTCCTTCATTTTGTCTTCATTCCTGGGCCAGAGTAAAAAACAATGGACCATGGCAGCATTTGCAGCAATGTGGTGAATTATGGATAAGAATAGAACAGATTAATTTATTTACCATCACTGAGTACAAAACACAAGGCTCCAAGGAACAAGGAATTAAATACCATCAGGAGTCTGATTAGTCTCCTCAAGTGGAACTGTGTTCCACCTTATCCATCTTGAGGAGGGTTATACCTATGATGTCTGGAGGAATTTCTCAGGAAAGTTATCTCAGCTCTGAAGGCCCCCTTTCTTTATGTGCAAAACAGAAACAGAGACACCCTAGCCTAACAGGCTTCCTGTGAGCTGACAGCTAAGGCACTGTTCTTTAACTGAGTGTGCATCAAAACTGGTGATGTCTTACACCATTGACTGGACAACTGCCCCTACTGCCCCAGACTCTGAGTCAGCAGGTCTGGGTGGGCCTGAGAACACGCATTCCTGTAACACCTTACCGGGTGACACTGCTGGTATAGGTGCCCTCCTCAGAAAATTACTGTGATTGTGACTGTAAGAGTGGTTACAGGCCACATGGCTCAGTTCAACTGGTATTACACAATAAACTTTACATGAACTGAGGGGCCTGGTACCCCTTCAGCAATGCAATTAAGAAGTGACAGTCACAGCTTCCCCCACTACAACCCTGAGCTCAGTGTTCTTTCTTCGGGAGTGAACTAACATAGTGGGAGAGTTGGCATAATTAACTCAAATCATTTATCATCTCTGTTGACTCCCCTGCCTAGCTTCAGAGTGAGTGGGTAAGGGGATAGGGGACCCTGCACAAGGCTCTGATAAGTGCATATACCCTCTGATCAGTGATTAATCAGGGACTGCTGTTGTCACTGCTTTATCAACTAAAAGACCCTACTGTTTCCAATACCTAATTATGTCATGAGCTACACTTGCTTACAGGAATTGAAAAAGGATTCCCCACCTCAAAGACCAAGGTGCTGAGTGCAAAAACCAAAATGGAAACAGGACATCATGTATAAAAAGGACCATGCATAAAAGAGCCAAGTGCAACAGAAGAATAACTATGCATGTCTAAAGGAATTTAATCTCTCCATGCCACAGACTATAAACACAGAAAGCTCACCCTTCTCTACTCCTTGATCAAAGAATAAAGTTTCTGCTTTGTTTATTGAACTCAGTCTCCTTCTATTGGCACAAATGACAGAGGGCAGAAGGACCTTGGTTTTGACCCCTGACCTGGAAGGTTGGGTAACACAGTCTTCTCAGCCTGGCTCTTTGGAAATTCTGAATAGGTCTGAGGTGCTCTCAGATGACCCTGTGTTTGCTGAGTGACTTCAGTGAGACTGTAGAAGGAAGAACAACCACTGCTGATTTAAGTGTGCCTGGATTCCGATGGTACAGCAGGAAGTACAGGAAGGTGCTTTGCAAAGGTAGATACCTAGAACACCAAAAATGGCAAAGGCAATGGGTACATGGAGATATTTTGGGGATATTTTGTGGGATACACAGTGGGGCTGTGTATCCCAAGCAGTGTCTGCTTAGCTTCCCAACTCTGAGCTCCACCATAAGTGGCTGTAGCACAGAAGGCCCTGGACATACCTGTTTCTAGCCTCAGCTATATCTCCATGTGGAGAGAGTGAGGGCACACAAGAAACCCCATCTGCCGGGCTCAGGGCTGGGTGCCTGCCAGCATACCTGTGCACACATGTACATTGTTGTTGGGCAGGTATGGAGTGCACCAGAGAAAATGTGAGAAACCAAGCTCCACACCACCCTGGACTGTCTTGAGGGGTGCTGCAGCCTCTCAGACCTCAGCTTTACTACTGTGTAGGGTCCTTGCAAGTATGTGGGAGCACCTAGTACAGTGCCCACATAAGCTGGCTACTTGAATATTACTTATTCATATTGCTGTAATTTTTGACAGTGTTGACATGGCCTCAGTCAAAGTGGGATTCTCAAAAATGGGTATCTTTAATGCTCCTGTACCCTATTTGGCAAATATGTCATCCTGATAACCAAAAACTATTTTTCTAGTAATTTATTCTAGAGAAATAATCTGAACTGCAAAGAAAAATTCATGCTAAGGCAGGTATATTGTAATAAGGCTTAAAGTAAAAGATAAAAGGAAGAGAAGAATCTAAACAATCCATGTTAGGAAACTGGTTATGTAAATTATGATATGCCTATATGATAGAATATTATGAAATTATTGAAATGATGCATAGGGAGTCTTATTGACAGGAGAAAATGCTTACAGTATAATTTAAGGGAAAGAAATAGGATCCTATAAATATAAATTATGTTAATTATTTTAAAAAGCCTAAGAAAAAGAAATGAAAGGAAATACACTTGAGATTTTGAGATGGTAGATTTGAATGGTGGACGGGAGTTATTGTGGCATTGTTTTCTTCTAAGGTACAGTTTTATATACTTTCCAAACCATCTACAATAAACATAAACATGTGTCACTTTTAGGGATAAGGAGTAGGAGCGGGTCTTCAGAATTGGCTCTCAGAACTGATTTCAGACTGGAAGTCCATGTAGGTGTCATCCAGTTGACCTGCCTGCCCAATCCTGTGCCCTACTGGGTGTCTCCCATGAGCCACCTGGGCTGTCACTGGACAATGGGACTGTGGCTACATTCTCTAGAATGTGACCATTCCAAGACATACCTTTTTGATATGCAGATTATTATTGAGCCAAAGGCAACCCAGACCCTGCAGACTTAAGAGAAGCATATGTTCCCTTTAATTACCTAGGAGAATTTAAATTAGGGGCCTTGCCCATAATAAGAGATTATCAGAGATAACCTCTTTGACCTATCTATATGGCAGGGAAAACTCCTAATTACTGAACATTCTGCTCAGTAATTACAATGACTTCCTTCTCTCTGAGGACAGAAATTGCCTTACATTATCCTTATCTAAGAATTCCATATGTATCTCATTTTCCCTTTCTATCTCCCATATGTAATACATATGTAATTCAATTTGGTTATTTTCTTTTGTCAATTTGTCTCATGTAGATTTAATTTTTAGAACAGCCAAAAGAACCTTGGAGTGTAGAAAAAAGGTTCTTCCTCCCCCATCAATGATTTTTTTCCTA